GGCCCGTTTCCAACATGGGGACTCATAAAGGCACATTGTGATGTACATATTGACCTTTTCTTTCTTTTATTTTTTCTTTTAAATCTTTTTATCAAATATGTTCATATCGGTTCCTACATTCCTGTTTCCCTGTAAAATCCTCTCTCCTAATCAATTTATCCCTTTCTCCCAAATTACCTCACCTTTAACCATTGTCCAACAAAAAAATTAATCTTAAAAATATAAATCTTAAAATCATAGGTTATTTTTCACTATATTATGAATAAAAGTATTATTCATGACATTAAATTCACTCAAATACACCTTGAATATATAAAGTTGGTCCAAAATTATTGAATGTATCGTGACTGTCTCTATTAATTAATCGATTACAATTCTAGTGATAATTGATTTGTTATCTTTCTTATGCTTATTCTCTCTTTTTATATAATATTTTTAAATTACCAACATATGTGGTCACCTTCAAAAATATTAAGAAATAAAGGAAGGTAGAGGTGGATTTTAGTTTTAATTTAATCTAGTTTTCAGTTTCAATTGTAATTTAAATGTAAAATACAATTGTATTTTGACATCTTAAATTGATCTACCTTTTAGTTATATTATTCTTAACTAGTACAACACCCGTGTATTACACGGGTGTTTGTTAAAAAATTATTCTTAAATTTTAAAATTAATGAGAAAATTATATTAAATTTAGTTTACTTTTTTACCAAAAAAAAATATATTACTATATATTTTAGAATGATATGTGTTACTTATGACTTAGATGTGTTATTATTAGTTTTTATAACTTATATTATATAACTACTTGAAATATAAATATATTAGTTGATAAATAAATTTATTTTTCTAATTAATATTAAAAATAATTTTATTATTATTATAAAGATAAATATAAATTATTTTTTTATACATATAATATGGATGTTAAATCGAAACTCATCAAAATAAGATTAATTTGACATATTACATATGTAAAACTGATAAAAAAATACAAAAGTTATTAACTTTTAAAATATATATACAATTCAATAGTTATAATAAGGAATGATATTAAAATGCAAATTAATACATGTAATATGACCATAAATAATCAACATATTTATGGTAATCCGAACCTAATTATTATTTGTTTGGAATTAAATTAAAATTTATCCAAGTCTAATAACGAAGCATGTAATTTTGCCACATAGGATTCCGAAGCACCAAAAGCAGCCACGTAGGCTCAGCGCGTTCTGGATTAATATATAGGGGAGATTGAAGGTATATCACTTTTAATTCAATTTGGAGAACAAAATTTGTGATTTACGATAGTTGTTTAATTACTTAATAAAGTTAAAAAAATTGTATTGGGGCATTATTCTTAGGGTAATTGTTATTTTAGTACCTGTACTATGGGCTAATTGTGATTTTGGTACCTATCCTTTATTTATTGCGAAAATACAACCCAACCTTTACGTTTTTTGCGAATTTGGTACCTATTCTTTATTAATGGCTAAAATACAACTCAACCTTTACGTTTTTTGCGAATTTAGTACCTAATAATTTTTCTGTACCTAATAATACAAATAAAATATCTTTATTTTGATTTTTTGATGTAAATCATAAAATTATTATTTGTATTATAGTGAATGATACAAATAAAATATTATATAAATCATAAAATTAAAAATAAAAATAAGATAAATTATAATAAAATATTATAAAATAAAAATATAGTGAAAGGCAATAAAATGATTTAAAGTAATTTTTAATAAATTAAAAAATTAAAATATATGTACTTTTAATAAAAATAACGTGTAAGAAATAAAAATTAACAAGTAAAAATATATATAAATAAAATAAAATTACATTAAATCAAATTAAATTTTGTTAAAATGATATAAAATAAATTTTTTCTTTTATAATTTATTTGAAAAGTAATATTTTTTTTAATAATTATATATGGTTTTTTTACAGAATCTCTAAATGTAATTTTAATAATATTGAAAATGCAGTTCATTTACCTAATATTAAAAAAATTGTATGTATCTTCATTTCTTCAGGAATTTTGTTAAGGTAAATACAAAAAAGAGAAATATTTTTTCTTTTGAATTTTCATAGGAGATACTATGATTTTTTAAATCATGGTTGCATTTCATTGATATTTAAATATGCCCATTCAATTTAAATATGGTTATTAATAATTATATATGGTTTTTTACAGAATCTCTAAATGTAATTTTAATAATTTTGAAAATGCAGTTCATTTTAGTTGTATCATTCATTATAATACAAATAACAATTTTATGATTTACATAAAAAAACCAAAATAAAGATATTTTATTTATATTATTAGGTACAAAAAAATTATTAGGTACTAAATTCGCAAAAAATGTAAAGGTTGGGTTGTATTTTAGCCATTAATAAAGAATAGGTACCAAATTCGCAAAAAACGTAAAGGTTGGATTGTATTTTTACAATAAATAAAGGATAGGTACCAAAATCACAATTAGCTCATAGTACAGGTACTACAATAACAATTACCCTTATTCTTATTTTTCGCCCGGGGCCAAAAAATAGTTAGGACCGGCTCTCCACACCAGCGATCATCAGTTGCCCTTATAATTATCATTGCAAATAGACACAAGCAGTAAGCAGGCCATTCCATACATAGGCAGGTTATTAAGGACAATTTTTATAAGAATCTCTCTATCAGCTTCACTCAAAAAATGATTTTCCAAGAATTGATTCTTTGTATAACATTCTCTGTGAAAAATCTAGAAGTATCTCTCCTGGACTTTCCAATTCTCAAAAGTAACCCTAAATACTTTGCAGATTTGACACAGGAAGTACCATTAAGTACAGAACAAATATTCACAATAGAATCAAAATAAGAATTCCTGGAAAAGAAAACTGAAGACTTAAGCAAATTAACACACTCACCAGAAGCTAACCCATAATTCTTAAGAATATTAATAGGTTCAGACGATCTACAACAGCAGAAATTAGAAACCTCTAAAATTTTAAATTGTAACTCCTAATCCGCTGTGTGGGTGGAAGGCGGACTCGACGACGCAAGAAAGATCATCGGGCGCGCGGGCAGCGTGCGACGAGGTCGCAGGCGCAGGCCACGCGCGACCCAAAGCCGGCGCGCAACAAAGGCCGGCCCCTGAAACATATCTAGTGGAAACTGTATCTGATCGTATAGAAGCTCCCAACATTACACACATCATGTGCTTGTAATTTATCTGATTTTTTCGTCGCCATCCTAGATGATAATATGATAGGTTGCATTTGTGAACCATTTTGTGACTGGTACTTATGAAATGCTTGGGAGTCCTTGGTGGAGATTATACTCTCAATACTGCTGTTGTTGTGAGCAATCTAAATTTATATAAAATCAATAATCTGTTTTCATCCGATTTTCAAATAAATAAGCAATGTTAATATTCAGTTTTTTCGATTTCATGTATCATAATTGGTGCCTTCAATGTATCAACATTCAACAAAATCCCTCATAGGAGTTGTCCGGCAGGCATCTAATGTCACGATTTGAGATGTAATTTCTCTATAATTAAGTGAAAAGGGAATATAGACCATGGAAACAACATGACTGATGGTGTATAAGATACGTTGTAGTATGTTTTTCACATTCTTGAATTCTTCAATGGTTTGCAAAATCTGCAGATCTTCAAACTAACTGAAACAAAGTGTTAGCTTACCTGAATTGCTCTCTTCTTGAACATTTTCCTGTTTTATGGTAGATCTTTTCTGCAACTAAAAAATATAAAGAAAAAAAAAATGAGGAAAACCTCGTCTAACAACTCAACTTGTGATGGAGCAAGAAGGATGATTATAATAGTCATGGTTGGTTACCATATCCATATGGATGGGGCAAGAGAGGTGGAAAGTTTTCGAGCGCGCCAAAAACAATCACAATGGACAATTCGAGCACTATAGAAGGGGCGGCTTTCGGGCGGGGCAAGAAGGATGTGTTTTTTTGTTGAAGTTCACCCTTTTTTGTCGTTCTTCGATCACCGGCCAGTGATCACCAATGGGTTGCTTGCTCGAGAAAATATGAAATGCTCTGTTACATGGTATGAACAATTTTTTGGTTTTGGGGTTTTCTTCTTTTTGCTTTCCCCTGTGGATGGGTACATAATAGATTATCAATTGAATGGCATTTATACAGAATGTTGAATTGGGTTTTCTTCTTTTTTTTTTCTTTCCTCCTTTGGTTGGTACATGATAGATAATCAATTGAGGGCCATTTAATATTTATACAGAGATCTGAAATGGATAACAAAATAAAATGTTCATTGAAGATGCACAATTGAACTTTTCATTGAAGTATACACAGCAGCAGATACAAGAGAAGGAGGATGATGAGACGAACCAACAAGATAATTTATTTTTGTACACACACAAAACAAAACGAAGCTATCTCAGCATCATCATCATCTTTCATCATCATCATCTAAGGTGCAGCAGTGTTTTTGTGACCATAGATGGCGGCATTTGCAGTGGCAATATCTTCATCCAAAAACAAGTCCCACTGCCCATCCCACTTTATGAAAAACTCTGTATCCTCATAGTACTTGACCCTGTGCACATCCCCAGCCGGAGTAAACAGATAATCCCCAATCCCCAAATCATACCTCTCCTTCTTTGTCAGATTCCACACCGATTTTCTTCCCCTTGTCACCACCAGATCGTGCCCGAATGTGTGGTGATGCGCCGGCTCCACGCTCCCGGCCTTGAATCTCACAATTGCCGATGTCGGCGTCTGCCTCAGAAGCTTCATCGATCCGCCCGGCATAGCCTCCACCGGCGTGAACTCCTTCTCTTCCCTGGATTTCGCCAGCGAGCAGATGAAGCACGGCGGATCCCTCGCGTTCTGGCCGCCGATCTGGGACATCTCCTCCACGGATTCATCAAGGAAGGACCGGATCTCGTCGGGCCAGGGCTCGGATCCGGAGGCGGGGCAGGGGGACTTGAACGGCGTGTCCAGGAAGGCGGAGAGGATCTCGTACGCGGCCTCCGGCGNGGTGGACATGCCGGAGACGGCCAGGACGTTGCAGTTGCTGATGGATCGGGCGTTGAGGGCGTCGGCGGGGGTCAGGCACGTGGCGGCGTACACGCCGGGGAACTTGTTGGAGAATATGGATACGCCGACGCCGGTGCCGCAGGCGACCAGGCCGCGGGTCTCGACGGAGGGGTCGGCGGAGGCCTGGCTGACGCGGCGTCCGACTTCCTCGCCGACGGAGTAGTATTTGGAGGTGCCGATGTCCTCCACGTGGATGTTTAAGGAGCGGAGGCGATCCACAAGGGCGTCCTTCAGGGAGGCGCCGAAGGAGTCGGCTCCGGCGATGATTTTGAGGGGACGTGTGGCGGTGGGTTCAGATGGGGCCATACTACCAATTTTTTTTTATTTTTTTTTCAACACTTATCCGGGAATAGAGTGGGAGTGTAGAGTAGGGCTTATTTGAAACTTTGACTGTGGCCCTTGGATTTCAATTAAAAAAAATAATAATAAATAATAAAAAAAACTACTTCTTTTCTTGTAATTGAAAAAAAAAACAAGATTAATTTAAATGAAAACATAAAATTTTATTTAAAATACTATTTAGTATATATCACCTTTTTCCACAATAACCTCACACTAGTAGATACTCGTGTAGTGCACGAGTATTTGATAAATAGTTAAATGCACAACAAAAAATAAAAGAAAAAATATGTATATATTTTGTTGAGTTGGATAAATAAATATGAATAATATAATAATTTATAATAAAAAACTAAGTAAATTAATAATATAATTTTAAATTCTAAAAACAAATGTATATAACTATTAATTGTATTTATTATATTTTTATTTAAACACATAAGACAATAATATGGACAAAAAACTCAAAATTTGAAAAATGAGATAATATGCAAAATTGTAGAAAGAAGATAATAAATATATTTATATGAAATAGTTTAAATATATTAAATATGTGTATTTATGGTAATCTAAATCTAAACTTCTTGTATAAAAAAAGTAGCCATTTTTATTCGAGCCTTTTTGTTGAGCCCCTCTTCTTCTACTTTGAAAACATCTAAATTTCTCTTATAATTTTTTTTTTTAAAAAAAAAAAACATTTGAAAA